ATAGAAAAGTATGTCTAAAACAAACTTTTGCTGCCTTTTATCGATTGGAAAAGCGGAGAGAAATTGTAGTATTATTTTCTCTGAGCACTGGTTTCATCCAGTGTTGAATCCGGTTCTCTCCGGAATATCTATGTTTTATATATTGCATAACACATGACATGAGTAGTACTACACAATCCTCATCTAACCAACACATGTATATTCTGTGGCATTTCCAGTCAACTTCTATGTGGTCGGGCCCACTCTCATTGAGCTGTCGGCGCTGTTCAGTACAACCATCGAGAAAATATGCTTCATTTATACGGTGCGGTCGGCCGGTATCACTGTTGGCAGCCTAAGTGAGTTCAACTCCCTTTTCCCTCTCTCTATCTCTCGTACACGAGAGAGAGAGAGTGAGCCATAAATAACTCGTAAAACACGCAAAAATTAGGTCAAAATTAATTCTCGTTATGTATTTATAAAACACAATTGCACTCAACGTTTAGGCGGTTTTCTATTCAATTACATCAACCGACAGTTGGCTTTCGTCTTCTTTATGGCGCTGATGGGCTTCAGTCTCATTCTGATGCCTCACTGCCAGTCCTTATCGCAACTGTTTTCATTGGCCGCCATCAACGGCTTCTCCATCGGCAGCTTCGACACCGCCATCAATGTCTGGCTGCTGGAGATATGGGGCGCTGAGAGCGGGCCGTATATGCAGGCCTTGCACTTCGCCTNTACGCAATTCTGGATCACAAATGAGAAGTTATATGATTTTGAATATTTTCCTCATTACTTATATATCACTGTATTTAATGAATTTTTAATTATTTTATATTTGAAATATATATGAAATGTGTGTAATAAATGTGCAATTATAACGGGGCGTCACAATTAACATAATGTTTAATTATATTGCGTTACAATGGAGTTGAAAGACTGAATTAATTTACAAAATGAATTAAGATTGCGAAAGTTATCTAAATAATATTTGTATATCATACAAAAAGTCTATTATAAGTACAAGTAATAGCTATAAATAAAGTTATTATGAATATTAATTCGCGATTAAAGTTGTGAAATATAATTAATAGTCAATACATATTGGGCTATGAATAAGAGATGTGTTAATTAGAGATAACTAACAGTAGAAATCTATATAACAAATGATATTATGCTAAATAATACATATTAAGGCAACACTTTCTTGATAACCACATTCATTCAGCGAAACATTCCTCCGTTTAACATCATATTCATGGTGACAATGGGCGCCCTATTCCTGACATTCTTCGTGGGTATGGAGCAAATGCATCTCCAATTCCTGCCCACGTTTGCCGTCAGCTCCGACCTCAATATGAGCCCTCAGGCGGCAGCTCTGGTCACGTCGGCGTCGGCCGCCGCCTTTACCGTCGGTCGCGGGCTATCCATACCTCTGGCCATAAAACTCAAGCCCGAAGTGATTCTCTATGCAAACCACGTGATGATGGTGTCCGGCATATTGATCCTCATATTTTGGGCCAATACATCCGTCGTGATGATGTGGACGGGAAATATCATACTGGGCGCCGGCTTCTCGTCCGTGTACGCCTCCATGTATGCATTCCTCGGTAAGTGAAACGTGAAAGTCACTAAACATTTATTATAATATACAGTAATATTAATGGATCTATTGTTTTCTCAATGACCAGAGCACCAGTTCCAGGTGACCAATACGATTGGGTCTATATTTGTGTTCGCCGGGGGCCTCACCTGTGCCCTCTCGCCATCACTCGTGGGACAGTATATCGAAGCCAACCCTTTGATTCTCATTTGGTTTAACTTATTGTGTGTCACTCTCTGTGTGTTAATCTTTGTGTCCATTCACGTGACTATTTGTACCAAAAATCGCCAAAACGTTGAGTGCAATTGTGTTTTATAAATACATAACGAGAATTAATTTTGACCTAATTTTTGCGTGTTTTACGAGTTATTTATGGCTCACTCTCTCTCTCTCGTGTACGAGAGATAGAGAGAGGGAAAAGGGAGTTGAACTCACTTAGGCTGCCAACAGTGATACCGGCCGACCGCACCGTATAAATGAAGCATATTTTCTCGATGGTTGTGCTGAACAGCGCCGACAGCTCAATGAGAGTGGGCCCGACCACATAGAAGTTGACTGGAAATGCCACAGAATATACATGTGTTGGTTAGATGAGGATTGTGTAGTACTACTCATGTCATGTGTTATGCAATATATAAAACATAGCTATTCCGGAGAGAACCGGATTCAACACTGGATGAAACCAGTGCTCAGAGAAAATAATACTACAATTTCTCTCCGCTTTTCCAATCGATAAAAGGCAGCAAAAGTTTGTTTTAGACATACTTTTCTATGCTTTTGAACTCGCTAAATGTTTTTCTCACATACACTCTCTTATCGTTCAATTTAGGGAATAACTTATTGAAAATTCATAAGTTATTTGTAATGATATTAGTAATCAATAATAAGATAATTATATTTGAATATTCAATAAATTAGAGGACAAAATACTGTTTAGATATAGCTATGGGAGCGGATGTATGAGCAGTGATAAGAGATTTGTGAATTCAGCACCTGATTGACCTTCAACCTTTTGACCAGACCCTTACAAGACTTATTAAATAATTTCTATTATAATAAAATTTCTTAACCTCTTAAAAGACATTTAATAAGACGACTTATAATTAATATTGAGGACAATATATGGCTTTATTATTAAATCACACTTTCATGAAAAAATGTGAGAATTAATGACAATGAGTGTCAAAATACTGAATCCTATTAATCTGTTTGAATAAATGAATTCGAGGAATGGGAATGAGTTACATATGAAAACAACATTATATAGAGCAGAATATTTGTTATAAACAACAAAACATGTGATATTTATGAAAACAAGTGGGGAATCGGTGGTGTGGTACGTATATGATATATAGTATGACCGTAAATACAGTATTATATATGACGAGAATCTGAGCTTTTTTTATTCAATATTCTGTTTCGATTACATCATGTGTTTAGCGTCTCTAACGTCAACTCTAAAGCGTTTATAAATAGTTTCTCACAATTTATTTCAACGGAATTCAATGCAAAATATATAAATAGAATTTAATTACTAGGTTACATAATCGATTACATCATGTGTTTAGCGTCTCTAACGTCAACTCTAAAGCGTTTATAAATAGTTTCTCACAATTTATTTCAACGGAATTCAATGCAAAATATATAAATAGAATTTAATTACTAGGTTACATAATCGTATAAATTATTATAACAATTGATATAAATAATAAAAATACACTAAAATAAGTGTAAAACAAAAATAAGATTAAAAAAACAATTCAAACCTCCGTAGAAGAAGTAGCAGAAGAACAGCGAGAATGTTGTGATATATTTCAAAGTCATAGACATCTTCATGTTTGCAGAGGTTTTGTTTTGTTTTCACTTTTGAAAAAATAAATAACAAAATATCGTAACACTTCTTATATAACAGCTGACTATTAAGTGGGAAAAAAGTTGGGAACAACTCTCGTATTTATAGGCCTCTCTCTCTCTCTCTCCTCGGTGTGGATGATATAGTCAACTGATCCACATGTAAGAAGTGTGTGAATGACTCATCCAGTTATGTATGGTATTATAACACTGACTGAACCGAAGATACCATACGATTATGACTTAAATATACGGCATATAAAAATCAGAGAGAATATTGGATTCATGCGATGAGTGAAAAACTTTAGA